GGCGCCTCTTCACACCCGCTGCTGTGAGCAGGCGGGCTGGTGGGTGTGTCGGTAAGAGGACTGATGCAGCGGTGGTCGCTCGCGGACGAGGCTTCTCAATCTTCCCAAGCGACGAGGCGCGGCAGAAGCTCTGCTCTTGGATCGGCTCCGCCACCACCACGCTCGAGTGCTGCGTCTTCGTCATCTCGGACGCGCGCGTGGCCGCTGAGCTCAAGGAGGCGGCCGCGCGCGGGGTCGCGGTGCGGCTGATTACCGACGACAAGACTGCGCTCGACGGCGGCTCGCAGGTCTTCGGCATGGCGTCTGCCGGCGTCGAGACGCTCGTCGACCCGGACTACGAGCTCAAGAGCGGCGCGGCGCCCGTGCCGCGCCACATGCACCACAAATACGCCATCGTGGACGGGCGGGTGTTGCTGTGCGGCTCGTACAACTGGTCGTACTCGGCCTCGGCGCGCAACAACGAGAATTGCGTCGTCACAGAGGACGTCTACCTGGTCGCCAAGTACAGCGCCGAGTTCGAGCGCCTCTGGAGGGAGTTCAAGGCGGCCGCGCCCCTCTCGCAGCAGCAGGCCGCCATCCGCATCCAGCAGATCGAGAGGGGCAACCGCGAGCGGCGCAGGTTCGCCGCGATGGCGCGGAGCCACCGCGCGGCCAACGTGTTTGACGTTGCGCGCAGCGCGATGGACATTGCATCGCCGGGGAACCGCAAGCGCGGCCGCGGCTGACGGGCTGAGGTCTGAGGTGTGTGGGGTGCGTTGGGCGTGGGCTGTCTCGCGTGTGTGTTAATATACTTTCGTAACACGTCATAAAATGGGGTTTGTGGAGCGTCCAGACATTCCTTTGTTACGTAATTTCTCGGGACCACGGACGCCATTCTGGACCAGACTAGATTTGAGAGCAGCACAATTGAAAGATCTAGATCTACTACTAATTAAGCCAGGGCTGGGGAGCTGGCCTTCTCAAATGGCGAAGGGGTAAATAGCTGCATGTTGACCAGAAGCCTTCTGTACACCTTCTGTACACCTTCTGTACACCTTCTGTACACCTTCTGCACATTCTGTACATTCTGTACACCTCTCCAACTGTGGTCATACCCATCAGACTCTTACTGAATATGTGATTTTTACATCTCAAGGCGGTGTACAACAAGAACAACAAACAAGCAAAAAACTACCCCCTCCGGGCACGCTTGCTGCCCGACGCCCGCTCCGCCTCACCGCTCATGTTGGCGACAGTCTTGCTGCGAGCTGCCTCGATTGCCTCACGATAAGCTACTCTTTTTGTCCCTATCGGGCTCCCTCCTGTTTCCGACAGTAAGGTTTGTTCAGCCATCGCCATCTCAAAGACTTGTAGCTCTGCTGCCGTGGTCCATAGAAACATATGATCGCCAAACGTCTTGAGCAGGATGGTGTTCCTCCCGCGAGCCTTATGAACAGAGAGAGGATCCAACTTTAGGCGAGTACGGAGCAGCCACCTCTGCAGGCCAGAGTCCATGGTGCTTTATTGCGACGAGCACAAGGGTTCCAACCGGGTGTTGCCCACTCGATGCCGCCACAGTCTCAGACTCAGAGGTGCTCGCCGCCGGCGCCGCGTCAGCCGCAGGAGCTGGTGTTACGGCTCTCGGCTCAAGGCGCAGCGGCACCTTTGCTAGTGCACGTGGTCGTGGAGCTCTTTCCTTCCGCCCCTTCTCGTTTTCGTTTGTTTTTTCTATTTACATCCCCCCCCCCCCCCTCTTGCCCTCATACCCACCCTCTGCGTTAAATTGAGAGTTCCCATTCATTCCCACTTGCGCCATTGGTGTCGTACTGCGCTGCCTCGTTACCACGGTTAGAGAAGCCTCGCTGCCCCGGTGGGTCGCCTGGGGGTCTTTGCCACTGAGCTCTGGCGCCGCGGACTTCCGCCCTCATATCGTCTTACGATAGCCTGGGCCGCGCACTCGTTTACCTGCGCTTGTGCCGGACTTTCACCGGTCTAGTGTTTGGCTCGCCAGGGTCGTTCGCTATCGTTCCCTGCCCCCGTCTCCCGTCTCCTGTCGGTTGCTGTAAATTATAGCACCTCGACCACAAATTGCGCGTTGAAGCCGCCCGCATCCTCCTCCCGCCCGGACACGTTTACGAGAGCTGGGCATCCAACGCTCAAGTCGGCGCTGTTTATTCCGCACGGGTGGCCCAGGTTGCGGACGCCGAAGGCAGAGTCGGACTGCCCAGAGCCGTATCTTGCAGAGAGCTTGTACAACCCCGCTCCCTGGCTTTTGAGTTGAAACACCGTTTCATCCCTGAGAAAGCCACAGCCAATCAGAGTGGACTCAGGAATCAGAGTGGGCTCAATTTGGGAGACGGCAACCGAGAGCCCGCAATTGTGTTCGTAGGCAAATTCATGGTTAGGGTCGAGCGTAGGTCCGCCGTTGCTATACGCGCTGTCAACGGTCAGCGCCCATGATTTCAAGAAGAATTCTTCCTTGGATGGTGAGACGGCTGTGAGGGAGAAGACAAACTCGAGGAACGAGGTGCGCACATCCTGCTTTGAGAAACGATCCTTGAGATACGTTCCGGTGTACTCCGCGTCCCCGTCGCAAATCATGGTGTAGTCGTAATATCCGCCATGGGGGAAATCTCCAACGTTAGAATTAGGGTCGGTGCAGCCAGGGCTGCCGGGGCAGCGGTGTTTGCCTTTGTTGCGGTTGAGCCGGCAGAACCTGTTGCTGCTCACGCTCTTGATGGCAACGGTCTTCAGATCAGTTGTGCTTGCAGACGCCACCCGGTCTTCCTTTATCCATTGCGCTTGCAGTCCGCCCAGAAGCTTCGCCTCCAGAATGTGGAAGGCGGCCTTAAGCAGCGCACGCTGTGGGTTGCCGGGATCCCGGAGTTTGTAGATGGGGGTGATCGTGTAGTCCACAACGCCAGCCTGACCGCCCACGGTTGCCGCCCAGTCTTTGTAGGTACCAATGGAGCACTTCGCCACGTCCCCGCCGTAGCACTTCACTTTCGTTTGCGCATTCGAGTGTTCCTCAGACGAGCTTGTGTGATTCGACGCCTCAGCCGAAGCTGACGCCACAAAATATGAGGCCGACAGCTTCGCCGACAATGACTCTGCCGAGGACCCTGAAGTGGTCTCCGCAGACTTGCTCATGGTGAAGAGCCCACCGTAGGTGGCAGACGTGATAAAGTACAAGCCGAACTTCTTCACGAACTTCTTCGCCTTTTCCAACGAATCTTCGACGTCCTCAAGCTCTGCGCGGGTGTCATCAGCTAGAGCCGCGTCGTATTCTTTCTGATCCCCGCCAGGGTGCAGGGTAACCACGCCAACAACCTGCATGGCGCGAAGCTGAGCGTAGGACATCTTGCTCGAGCTGCTGGACGACGAGCCGAATGACGCTGATGCTGACGCGGTCACGCCCCAGGCTGATCCTCCGACGGAAGCAGACGCGGCGAACTGGCTCGAGAACTCTGCGATGGAGTCGCCTGAAATCGTCTTCGTCGAACTGAAGGCGGATGCCGTGCTTACGCTGAGGCGCTGGGCGAGTTTGTTTCGATCAAAGAGATTGGCAGTCGGTTCCGTGGTGACCACGACGCCTTCGCCCGTGTCGACGTCCTCACCAAGCTGGAACTGGTAGGCGGAGATGTGGAGCTGATCTTCGTTCGAGGAGGTGATTCCGCGCAGGAATTGGTCGATGGTGAGCATCTCGCGCGTCTGCATGAGTCCGCTCGAATCTGTCAAAATCTTGTCGGTGCCTGGGTTGTTCGCTGTGCACGTATCAGAAGTCATCATCGGGGCCGTTATCGTTGACACTTTGGAAGGGGAGCTCCCAACCGTATCGTCAACAGAGTCGACAAACAGCTGGCACACGAATCGCTCCGTGTTGACATTGACAAAGTTGGGCGACTCCGCCGAGACGTAGCCGGTGTAGTGCACGCATGGATGGCCAGACCACGCCGTCTCACCATCGTTGCAGGCGCGGTGCTCCTCCACCTTGAAGACGGAGATGGCCCACGATTGGTTGCTCCGGCCCTGCTCGTTGGCGCTGCACGTGGCTGTTGGCTCGAGCAGCGCGATGTTCTTGT